CAAAAGGCACCAGTTCAGCATGAGTCTGATAGACATGCAAAGTTTCGAAGAGAAATGACAAAATCCGGTAAGCTTGTCAAGTATAAAGACTGAATCAAAACATTAAAATGGAAGTTTAGATTCTATTAAACATTGTGCCTGATATGAGAGATATTTGTCTGGTAAAATGTCGAACAATACTTTGTGTTTTCATAAATGCGGGTGTTCCTGAATTTTAAAATGAACTGAAAATTTAACTGGAACCAACTTCTGTTGCTGGTGGTTTTAAATGTAACACTATCCGGACCAAGCCATGGCATTTGTTTGAGTGTTTTAACCTTAACACTGTATGACGAAGGCTGCACGCCGGGTTAATGTACGGGAAGGAAATCAAGAATCACATGAAGCCTTCACTGTCAGAAATGAACAACGTCCTTCAATGAATTCTTGAAAACAACCATAATGGCAATACTCTAACGTGTGGCAGCTGCGTTTCATTCCGTTTAGGGTTTCACATAATCCAATTATAACGATTGCCTACAAATTACCAATGGAGTAATCATTTCTCCTTAACATTACGAAGCCTTACGACCCTTTATAAGAGCATGGTCGTAAATAGGGGATGTTGGATAACTATCCTATCGTTAACAAGGCTAGAGGGTTTTTTTTAAGATCAGAAGGCTTTTTCTTTTGGGAATTGAACTTGAAAGGTAGCTATTTTGTGACCCTGAGATGAACTTCTTGCACCGCGAACACGTGTCAGCTTACGGTTCTTTCTTAATTATCATTTTGCGACGTGCAGCAGCTCTGTGGATTTCAATTGTCGCTGAGTGTAGTCAACAAACAGTCCATTCAACCGTGGTCGTTCAAATTGGGCAAGAGAACTTAAATCGATGATTTAATTAAAAATGACAAAACCATTGGGTCCTTTGTAGGATTCCGACTAATGAAATATAGCGACAAAACCCTTTCTATATACAATAGAAATCTATGCATAAAGCAGAGTCGATTGTACGATTCCGACTATATTATGAGGCATGTGTTTATGAATCACCATCAGATAGTAATGATAGCCGGTGTTCGCGAAAAGGTGAGCGTTTCCTGCCCAACCGGTGGCACCCGTCACAAACACATGCAAAGGCAAGTTAATTGTTCACGTAAAAAACGCAGGAACATAGGGTACAAGACAATAAGAAAGGCGGCTTTATGACGAGCTAACAATTAGTGATGATACAAGCTGAGTCTATCCTGCCCCATCGGAGACAAACACATGCAATGGCAAGTCAAGTGTTCACCTGACACGGGAACATTTGGTACATGTCACAAAGGGGAATTGCAGCTCTTCAGCAACCATTGCTTGCCATAAAGGGCTACTATGCGTCTCGTACGAGGCGACTGATGGGATCGGGTGGTCAGACTCGCTGACTTGGTTGATGCTTTTCATCGTATTCCAATAGCGTGGATTGATGCGCATGATATCAATCACTGAATTGCCTGGTCCAGACTCGATTATTTACAGACCCCAGTCATATAGCTGGAAAATTGCTGAGTGCGGCGTTAAACAATTGTACTGTTTCATGAAAAGCATGTAAACTGCCTGTCGAAAATAGCAAACACTCATGACAATATACCAACCAGTCATTGAACGTGACAGCGACACCGACTAAATTGTGACCTATAGCACAGAATAATAAATTTTAATATCGATCAATAGTGTTTCTTGAATAGTTCGAGAACATATTTTCCGGCGAACTATTCCTTCCCAAAGAAGTAATAAGAATATTTATTTTTGCTCTTTGAATAGCCGTATTGTATTTGATTCCACATAAAAGTGGCGACGATAACTGGAATATAACACTCTTGCTTTTTTAACATGGGAAATAGCAACCTAGGCCCATTAATCGATTTCGGCAATCGAGGCGTGCGGTTCCATTCCTAATGTTTGAGAAATAACGCTGCGTTAAGTTTAAAAAGTTGCATTCCTATTATAAAACAACGCGACTGTCTTTAGGCTGCTGTTACCATGACGTATTTGATTTCCGTGAAAACGCCGTCTATTTAATTGAAAAAATGAGTAAACATTTGATACAGCATCTGCAAAATGGTTTATTCTCATCGGCATTGATAACGAACAAGCATCAAGGCGTCGAGGACATCAACATTTTGTATTCATTTTACTTTATTGCAAGAAGTGAAATGGAATAATTTGACATTTACGACGAGAAGCCCTGCAGCAATTAATCTTCATTGAGACACCTCGGCATCACCGATAATTTGATGGCACGTAGGTCACGTACTACTACTGAAAGCGTTAAAAGAATTTTATAAACCTTGCAATCATTTGCAGACTTGTACCTTCCTTGCCATCTTACCAACACCCCGTGAAGATTCCGGGGTAGAATAGGTCTTCAGACACCCATGCTTGCCGTAAAAGGCGACTATGCTTGTCGTAAAAGGCGACTAACGGGATCGGGTGGACAGGCTCGCTGACTTGGTTGATGCATGTCATCGATCCCAATTGCGAGGATCGATGTTCATGATGTAAATCACTGGATTGTCTGGTCCAGACTCGATTATTTACAATCCGCCGTCATATAGCTGGAATATTGCTGAGTGCGGCGTAAAACAACAAACCAAAAACCAACACACGTTATAACTACGAGGGCTGTATTTTGTATCGAATGACCTTTATGTGGCACGCAACACCGCGGGTTAACACGTATGTCTTTCTACGAAGGCAATGATTAACAAGCTCGGCTTGACCCGATTATTCACATGTGCAGAATGAATACCGTGGGCAATAGATTGGTTTGTTGGTGTGTTGTTTAACGCCGCACTCAGCAATATTCCAGCTATATGACGGCGGTCTGTAAATAATCGAGTCTGGACCAGACAATCCAGTGATTAATATCATTTTGAGCATCGATCCACGCAATTGGGATCGATGAAATGCATCAACCAAGTCAGCGAGCCTGACCACCCGATCCCGTTAGTCGCTTTTTACGACAAGCATAGTCACCTTAGAAGTATTGTATAATGTCGGTTGACGTCAATGCTTGACGACCGTCACAATTACATGCACAGGGTAAGAACTGCCATACGTTGACGATTTAGTATAACTTCGTGTAAGTTTGTTTGTTGTTCATCGCCGCACTCAGCAAATAGTCCAGCTACGTTACGACGATCTATAAACAATCAAGTCTGAACCAGACAATCCAGTGATTGATGTCATGAGCATCGATCCACGCAGTTGAGTTTGTTGTTTAATGCCGCAATCAGCAAAATCCAGTTATATGACGGCGGTCTGTAAATAATCGAGTCTGAACCAGACAATCCAGTGATTAATATCATGAGCATCGATCAACGCAATTGGGATCGATGACATGCATCAATCAAGTCAGCGAGCCTGACTACCCGATCCTGTTAGTCGCCTCTTACGACAAGCATAGTCGCCTTTTACGGCAAGCATGTGTTGCTGAGACCTATTCTACCCCGGAATCTTCACGGGTCCCACGCAATTGAGATACGAAGACATGCATCAACCAAGTCAGCGAGCCTGACCCTCCGATCCCGTTGGTCGCCTCGGGTTTGTGAATACGACATAGGGTCGCTTTGCAGTGTCGAAGTTTAATTGATGCTGACAGTTTTCAGAAAGCTCGTGTCCATTTATAACCATGGAGGTCAAGTGAGTAATGCTCCGTGCGTGAACACTGCTCGAACATTGCGCGAACACCAACAGGGCTTGACAGTGAAGCAGTGTGTAGCGACAGAGCAGGCGGTGGCTGTAGCACATCCTGCAGACGTTGCCAAGTATAAACCATTACCATTCATGCCATGTAACCTGAGCTCTCGCTGGCTTCCCGACCAGCTCTTTGATTGATTTGTGGGTCACAACTAGCTTCAACACTGCTAAGCTTATGTATTCACGGTCTGTTGATGGGGGATGTTGGTTGGTGTGTTGTTTGACGCGGCACTGAGCAATATTCCAGCTATGTAACGGCGGTGAGAATGGGACTTCAGCAACCCACACTTGCCGTAACACTCGACTATGCTTGTGGTAAGAGCTTGATGAAGTTAGAAGTATGGTTTTGAAAAACCTAGGTGTGTGTGTGTGTGTGTTTGTGCTTGTACTAGTTTGTTTGTTTGTTGTTTAACGCCGCACTCAGCAATGTTCCAGCTATATGACGGCGGTCTGTAAATAATCGAGGCATTGATATCATGAGCATCGATCAACGCAATTGGCATACGATGACATGCATCAATCAAGTCAGCGAGCCTCATCACCCGATCCCGTTAGTCGCCTCTTACGACAAGCTTTGGATGCTGAAGACCTACACTCTACCCCGGATCTTCACGGTTTTCGAAACATTCGATTGTTTTACTTACACTTTTACCCACCGACAGGTTTATCTATTGACATGAACTGTTTTCCTATGAAGGCCCACGGACACTTTTACTCGTGATCACCTCACTCCTTGACTGTTTTAATTCTGAAACTTTTAGTTGGAATAATGCTGAGTGCGGCGTATAAGAACAGTCAATCATTTTGTTACCAAATCTCACGCTTGACTTTTCGGTTTTTACAGTAATTGTGTTCCTCATGATCCATGATCCATTTCATTTTCGATACAGAACGTAAACGACAGAATAACCATCCCGATTTTCAGCTGAAACAGTGAGTGAACAGTATTCCATTGATACCACGGAGTGTCAGCTAAGACCCGTGAAGATCCGGGGTAGAATAGGTCTTCAGCAACCCATGCTTGCCGTAAAAGGCGACTATGCTTGTCGTAAGAGGCGACTAACGGGATCGGGTGGCCAGGCTCGCTGACTTGGTCGATGCTTGCATCAATCCCAATTGTGTGGATCGATGCTCATGATGTCAATCACTGGATTGTCTGGTCCAGACTCGATTATTTACAGACCGCCGTCATTAATATTGCTGAGTGGGCGTTAAACAACAAACAAACAACCAAACAAACATATGACCGTTTTATTCATGAACTGTTGTTCTTCCTCAGGTGTTCCGATTCTTCATGGTGGGCAAGATAGACGACAAGTGCGTGGCCTTGACCGACTACCTCACCGTGTACACGTCACTGCACGTGTATCTCTACCAGTTCACGCTGATTTTCGTCCTTCCGGTTGTCATAGTCCTCACGTGCAACGTCCTCGTCCTCCACAGGATATACCGAGTGAAAAAGCTCCGACGCCCAGAAGACTATGCTCTGCCAAGATCAAGAAGAAATGTTGCTAAAACTCACAAAACGACCTTGATGCTGGTCACAATATCGTTCGTTTACGTTGTGACCTTGTTTCCATCCGTCATCGTCTCGGTAATCGTCCACGTTGCCATAGCAACCAGGTATAAGGGAATGCGGGAATTATTTCACACACTTTATCCCTTTATTGACATTTTCGAGTTGTGTTCGGACATCAACTATTGCTCAAATTTTTTCATATATATTTTGTCAGGGAAAGTGTTTAGATTTGAACTGAGGCGAATATTTGCATGGGAGAAGAGCACGGCCGTAACAACGACGAAGGTCAAGGACGATTTCGCTCTTGTGTGACAATTTCCGTCTGGATACATGTTGTTCACATCATTGGCGTGTCTCGTAGTGTGGGATACCTTAGGGAACGCTCTGGCGTTCTCGATTTGGTTTAACTATCGCATTCTCGTGTTGTAATACAGATTTCCTTTTCTCACAAGTCGAGATTGAGATTTGTATCTTCATGTCCATATGTTGCCATCTTGCCTTGTCAAATCAAGCGAAAAATCACAATTCACATCCCCGTGTTCTCTCTCATTCATGCGCGTCTTGTATGGCTGAAATAATGCCGATGCGACGTTAAATTTTAACTCACTCACTCATTCTTGCGTTTTGTGGTTAAAGCGTTCGCTCGTCACGCCGAAGACCCGGGTTCGATACCCGACATGGGTACCATGTGTGAAGCCCATTTCTGGTGTCCCCCGCCGTGATCTTGCTGGAATATTGCTAAAGGCGGCGTAAAACCTCACTCACTCGCTCTAATTCTTACCCGTGAAGATCCGGGGTAGAATAGATCTTCAGCAGCCATGCCTGCCATAAAAGGCGACTATGCTTGTCGTAAGAAGTGACTAACGGGATCGGGTGGTCAGGATAGCTGACGCATGTCATCGTATCCCAATTGCGTGGATTGATGTTCATAATATCAGACACTCGATTCTCTGGCCCAGCTTGAATATTGCTGAGTGCGGCGTTAAACAAAAAAGAAACAAAACTAAAAAACTCAATATGAACAATAATAAAACATGACTGCTGTTTGTGTCGATGAGACTTTGAGTATACAAACGTTACAATTAAACACCGTTGTGTCGAACCTATCTTTGTCTCGAAGTAAAAGATTGGTCCCTGCATAGTCCTTTATTCATCATTTTCGGTTGTGTCGAACCTCGGATCACTCGAAGTACCTTAACTTCGACACAACCATGTTTGACTGTATATGGAAAAAAACACTACTGAAAAATAAAAAAAGATTGTATCTCGACAATGAAATAAAATCCGAATAGATGTTTTCTCTTCTGAAGCAAATGCCTGGTTGGTACAAACTGACCTTGAACTGAGGACATAGCCGACGACAAACAATATAACGCGTTTTGACAGGACCCATCTTAAGATCCTGTAAGATTCTACAAAGGCTACTGGACTGGAGATATAGCCTCCATGAGGCTCTGATTACAATGGAACTATTTATGCCAGCATCATCCATCTCTGACGAATTAACAGAAAACAAACTCATGTGAACCATAACTATATACCGTATTCGCCGTAATATTATTTTGGTGAAAAAATAAGTTGAAAGATAAATTTCGTGGTTTATGCTGACAGCCTGAAATGTTTATGTACGACAGATTTTTTCAGAATTTAATTGCCCAATATTAAGGGTACATATAACACATGAGTGCGTATTATACGCGAAAAAATAAATCTTGTGTACAGTGATCAATCGGGAGGGTGCCAATTGGGATTGTTCACAAGCCAATATATAAGCAAATATCGCCGTGGCGCTTATTATTACGCCGAATACGGTACTTTTAAGACAATGACATCGCAAGAATGGAATACGAAAATGGATAACTCCAAGCTGAAGGGAAAGAGATCGATTGATCTTGACCCATAAAGCTTTGACCACCACAGACGTAATAATCCTGGTCTCGACAGTTTCCGCGAACCTTATCTCTGCCACAAAAAAAGTAGAATATAGCATCTCTTTATGTTCTGCTATGAATAATGACATATATCTTTTAGGCACCATCCATTTGATATTCTTACCAAAACAAATCTACGTGTTTTAGTCGACATTTCGGATGACCTTATAGCGACGTGTGTGTGTCCCGACCAGTCCTTGTTTTAGCCCCTTAATGCCTAGCGTCAGGCAGGGTAAAAACATGTTTGTTTGTAGTTTAACGCTGCACTCAGCAACATTCCAGCTATATGTCTGTAACTAATCGAGTCTGGACCAGACAATCCCGTGATTGACATCATGCGCATCGATCCACACATTTGGGATACGATGACATACATCAACCAAGTCAGCGAGCCTAACCAACAATGTACCATCTTTTAACGTATTTTGGTATGACGCGGCCGGGGATCGAACTCCGAATTTCCGCTTTCTGGTAGTCGCCCTACCACTAGAAATAAGTGCGTTGTGAAACAAATTGTGTTTTAAAGCAGTGACAGACAAAATATTTAATCAGCGTTTTCAGTCACATAATGTCCTTGAACACCTGCTATATAATTGTGATTAAGGAGCATAGGTGGCGCCACGGTTGAAAGCATCGCAATTCACTGGGTAGGGTTGCTTCCCTTAGCCGCAAAAGGATCCGAGGGTCCTTCATTTGAATCTCATTTCGATTATGGTACTTTCTTTCCCAACACGATTACCAGTTTCACTGAAGTGGTTGATGGCAACCACATGAAGTCTTTCCTCACTCGTCAAGCTGACACGCATTGATAAAATTGAAATACTGTTAAAAACGTATCGCTCAATGCGCGTCGTCACCCTGCAATTAAACTGGGAGAAAACATAGTGCAACGGGCACGGTAACTCACCTGGACATGGAGTCAACAGTTCCAATGTCAACAGACGCAGCTGTCGACAGCATTGATATTCAATTATGTTTTGCGCAAATACACATGACTAAATACTCTCACTAAATTCAAATGAGTGAGTGAGTTAACATTTAACGTCGCATCGGCATTATTTCAGCCATATAGCGACGAGACCAAGTTGATATATTTACAAGTGAGACATTTAAGCAAACATATTGAGAAACAAATTTCATCAAATGAATTTGGGCATAACAATGTCATTCATACAGTTTAAAACGCAGGCCACCAATAACCAAACCTAGGCCACCTCTATACTAACGGCACCTCAGCTTCCGGCATGATATCCCAGCAGGATCACTTAGCAATTGGTGATTGTGCACAATACTAGCCAATATTAAAATATATTCAACAACGAGTTGGCTTCAAACATTGGTTGATGATAGTTACATCGATTATGACAGGATTACGTGTCACACAGGGGGACAATCATTTTACAAAATATGAAAGTATCATAAAAGAAAACATTTATGCCTGTCAAATTTAGAGAAGTTAACAGAGCCAATATGTCATTGAGCGAATTAACGAGTGTGGTAAAAACAAGGTAAAATAATTAAGCTATCACTAAAACCGGAACACATATGATAAGGTACCGGCGAAGATCCGGGGTAGAATAGGTCTTCAGCAATCCATGCTTGCCGTAAAAGGCGACTACGCTTGTCGTAAGAGGCGACTAACGGGATCGAGTGGTAAGGCTCGCTGACTTAGTTGATGCATGTCATCGAATCCAAATTGCGTGGATCGATGTTGTTTAACGCCGCACTTATCAATATTCCAGCTTATATGAAGGTGGTCTGTAAATAATCGAAACTGGATCAGACAATTCTGTGATTGTCACCATGAACATAAGTCCTTTGCAATTCCAATATTCGCAATTGAAACATATGTGTTTATCTTTGTTGCTAAGGCATTGATTGTTGATATGCTAAGGCATTGATTGTTGATATGCTAAGGCATTGCTGGTTGATATAACAGTTCACACTGCCCACACACATACAGTCTAATGAACACGAGAGTTCTTTGACCTACCAGGTCTACGGCATCTATTCCAAGAAGCTATTTATGATCTCATTGTGTCCACCTGATAGATGAGGTCTTTAGTGTCAACTGATGAAGTGTATCATCCGAGTAGGGCGATGAATTGGTAGTCAGACAAGTCACAGCGGCTGATTGGAAGCTATGGCGATGGGCTGCATGATTAGCCTTCCGCTATGACATGACTGATTGTGTATTTATGTCCTACCTGAGGACAATGGGACATGGCCTCAAAATACATGTAGTTGTTGTCTAATTGCATTATAAATCTCCGTTCTCTCTCATTTTGACCCGTGAAGATTCCGGGTTAGAATAGGTCTTCAGCAACCCATACTTGCCGTTAAAGGCTACTATGCTTGTCGTAAAGGCGACTAACGGGATCGGGTGGTCAGGCTCGCTGACTTGGTTGATACATGTCATCGATCCCAATTGCGTGGATCGATGGTCATGATGTCAGTCATGGATTGTCTGGTCCAGACTAGATTATTTTACAGACCGCCGTCATATAGCTGGAATATTGCTGAGTGCGGCGTTAAACAACAAACAAACAAAAATTTAGTTGCTCCGTGAATATCCGCGTAAGAATTGGTATTCAGCAACCCATGCTTGTAAGAGGTCATGAATGACCTTGACTGATGCGTGTCATCGAATTCCAGAGGTTCATGATGTTCATCACTGGAATGTCTGGTCCAGACTTCAGTATCTACACACCGCCCTCTTTTAGCTGGAATAATGCTGAGTATGGCGTTGAAGAACAAACATTTAGTTACCAAATATCACGCTTGACTTTAGGGGTTTCATAATAATTGTGTTCCTCATGATCAATCACTTTGTTTCATTTCGATATAGAACGTAAACGACAGCATAACCATCCCGATTTTCAGTTCAGCCGAAACAGTGAGTGGACAGTATTCCAGTTATACCACGGAGTGTCAGCCAAGACCCTCGAAGATCAGGGGTAGAATATGTCTTCAGCATCCATGCTTGCCGTAAAAAGGCGACTATTCTTGTCGTAAGAGGCGACCAACGGGATCGGGTGGTCAGGCTCGCTGACTTGGTTGAAGCATGTCATCACATCCCAATTGCGTGGATCGATGCTCATGATATGAATCACTGGATTGTCTGGTCCAGACACGATTATTTACAGACCGCCGCCATACAGATGAATGTTGCTGAGTGCGGCGTAAAACAACAAACCACTGTACTGTTGTACTGTTGTACTGTTGTCAGTGAACTAGCCATTTTGTAAAAGTCGGTCACCGGCAGTGATGTCATACGGGAGTAAACATTGTTGTACATTTCTTTGAGGTGATTTTTTGTTAACTCGGCTTCATGCGGGTTCTATCATCTCATCTAGTTTGCGCCATCATCATCGCCTTTGTAATCCACAGATGGCGGAAACGTTTTTAGGTTTAGGTGTATAGTCACAATATTTGTGAATAGTAAGCAGTACGTCGGATGACGTCACTCGTGACCGTTGTGTTATGTATTAATGCGCCACCTCGATCATGAGAACAGACAAAATGCATCGATTAGATGCTTAAAGGTGCGATTTTCGCTCGTTAGATACGTTTTGAACAACTCGTTGTGAGAGAAATGGTATCTGACAGGCACTTATGTCGTAATCTCTAT